TAGACTTATGCATTCAGTCAGTGTATGTCTTTGATACACCACAAACTTGACAAACAGTTGGTAGCTAATGATCTAATTTTAGATTCTGCTTTTAATCTGTGAAGTAGTGTTAGGTTTTAAGAAGAAAGAGAGATTGTTGGCACTCTTTCAGATAAAGCAAGAAATTTAAAGTGTAGATTTAAAAATTATTCATTATTGTGTATCTGATGTAAGTTTTCGGGGAGGGGCACATACATGCTGAGGACAGTTCTGTGGAATTGCTTTCCTCCCTCTTATTTATCATGGATTCTGTGGATTGAAATAAGCTCCTCAGGCATGCATGGCAGGGTCTTTAGCTGCTGAGCCATCTTGCTACCCAGGAGATTTTTTTTTTTTAATAAATAATTTTTTCTTTTTCATTTACTTTACACCTGACAGCAGTTTCCTTTCCCTGCTCTCCTGCCCCTCTCTCTCACCTCCCCTTTACCTCCTGCTGTCCACTCCTCCTCTGTCTCCATTCAGAAAGGGACAGGCTTCCCATGGGCCATAGGCATCAACAAAGTCTAGCATATCTAGTTGAGGCAGGACCAAGCTCCTCCCCTTGCATCAAGGCTGGGCAAGGCAGATCTTGGGACTAGCAGGGCCTGCTTTATCAGGATTCTCACAGATCCGTTTCATTGATCCTTACAAATCAAGTAAGGTGGTGGACAATGCTTAGACCCGTTCAATGTTCCTTGATTGGTGATACCTTATAGAAATGCGGGATGACTCAAGATATTACCAATGAAAAACACAGTATACCACCTACTGGCATCTTCCTTAGGCTGACAAAAACTCATTAACAAATGGGATTAGTTGAGGGAACTCGATATTACCAAACAGAAGCCATGATGTCTATTTGACATATGTAACTCACATGCAAATAAAAAGTGGTAACAGTTCTTGTGAAGCATTCAAGAGTGCTGTGATTGGCATGTGTCTAGACAAGAATGGACTTTTTAGTACTTTTTAAAATGACAGGACTTGTTAGCAACTTAAAAAAAAATACCATAGCCTGATTAAAGTCATTTTACCATCTGATTGACTAATTCTTCTAGGCTTGGTTTTCAGAGAAATTAAGAGAGACAAAGAAAAGCAAAACAGTGGTTGCAGATGTTCAAAGCTGCTCAAGCTAGTTAAAGAGATTAAATATAAAGATCTGTGTGTATATATTATGGAAAGACATTTCAATTGAAGTATTTTTTTTATAAACAGAAACATGAAAATTATAGCAGAAGCTGAGGATGGAGCCCAGTTGGCAGAGAGCTCTCACCTAGCATAGACGAGGGCCTGGCTTCCAACTGCAGCACTTCATAAATGGCATGGTGGTACAAGCACTCTGGAGGTGGAGGCAAGGGTTCAGATCCCATAGGGAATTCAAGGGCCACCACAACCCTACTCAAAAACTTACCCAAATTGCAATTTCAACTCAGGATGCCACAATTGCTTATTTGTTTATCAGTGAATTTTTCAATACAAAAGATCTGATAAGTAAACACAAAGGCAGAATATTGGGGGAGTGAAAGATTTTACTTATTATACAGTGGGTTACAAAATCTAGTAGTCAAAACTTTTCTATACTTCAGTAAGAGAATTACAGAATACAAAATGGCATTGACCACACTGTATCCACTGCCTCAGGAGTTATTGTTACCCAGATCCCCTGGGTGTATTGTTAGACCTTAACCAGAGCCCACAGTGTTTGGTTCAGCTGCCACTTTCTCACTGCACTTCCCTGCTAGTCCCAAGATCTGCTTTCGCCAGGCTCCCAATGGGGCTAGGTTAAGCTATTTCTCGGAGGGAAGTAGGAGTTCAAGCTCTGTGGAGCTAGTGTCACAGTTCAAAGGGAGCTGGGAAAGCTGCAGGGAAGTCCCTTCCCCTGCCTTCCCTCCTGTGTCCTTCTGACTGTCCAGCAAACAACTTCCTGTGTGCCTGAGAACCAGCTGGACTTCTCTGAAGTGCAGGCCAGCTTGGGAGTGATGTGACAGCATCTTTCTTGGTTTCTCTTTGTTGGTCCTTTGCTATTATTGCTGAAACTTCACTCTCAATTGGGGGTTGGGGTGGGTGGGGGACAAATACAAAGCAAAATCTAAACAAAAATTTATACAAAAAAGAAAGTGCCAGGAAGAAAGAAAGAAGACGAGAAAAAGAAAAGACAATACTCTAGTATAAATAAACATTAGTGCACACTAAACTACAGCCAGATGCCATTTTCTTGTACATTAGTTTGTCAAGAGGGAAAAGATGAACAGGTCTATTGGTAGAATTGAGTGAATCACTGCCATGTGAAGGTGGAGACTGAATGCCTTCATGCTTCATGAAGACTGATGTGGCAGTGTTCAGTTTTTAATCAGCAATCTTCTATGTACATCAGGTCATATGAGTATACATGCTGTTTTATAATAGTAAAAATTAGCAGACAAGTAAAGTAGTCATTTAAAAAGGGCAGGACTTGAAAGATGAATGGTACACCCATTGTATAGAGTATCTCAGGGTCATCAGAAAGAGTATGTTAAATTAAGAGAATCCTGGAAAGATAGCTCCCATATATTTTAAGGAAAGATAGCCATTATTCGATTTTTATACAACCTAAACAAAACCCCTATTTTTGTATTTCCCTCTGTGTATATTTAAAAAGTGTTTACATTTTTAAACAAAATATATGAGGATACACCAAATAGTCTAAGTCTATTTGCTTAAAAAGTAAGGTTCAATGTGCAGTTACTAACTTTTCCTTTGTGTGCCTCTTGCATGCTTGATATACTATAATATGTATAAAATAATTAGGTAATAGGTAGACAGTAGAATGGAAAAAATAAGAGGATAGTAATTAAAAATGTATGTAATCTAATTTTGATTGATCAATCCTAAGGAAATAAATTCCCTGTCATATAACATACCTTCTGAACATTACAGCATCCTGTGAACTCATTTAAAAAAGAATAAAATCTGTGAGTAAAGGATGGCTGCCAATTTGCTAATATTAAAAAAGCATCAGCAATTAGTTTTCACATCCTATTTTATTATACATTTTATTATTAAACTATATAATAGCAGTATGATAGATATACTTTCAATAATACTTATTTCAAAGAAATGATATCACAAAAGGACCTTTAAATATTTAGCTTTTATATACTTAGACTAGTATGTGGTTTCCATCAATAAAAAGTGAGAAAATCTCCCCCAAATTTTCCTTGTCTGTATGTTTTTATTGTCATTGGATGAAAATATTTTAAAAAATTAGTTTACTAGTACAAAGTGAACTAGTAGTTTCCTATTTTGCATGCATGTCTTAAATCCTAAGTGAAAACCTGCATCAAATTGTTTGATTGTACGCCTTGCCTTTTTCCAAGAGGAATTAAGTTCTTTTTTTTGCATAGGCCAATGAACCATTTCAGTATATTACATGAACTAAACAAACTTGCCCAGTTATCAGTTGTGTTTACAGCAGACATGTTTTGTCTGTCTGTGTTGGAGGCTCTGGAGAGTCTTGTGTGAGGCTTCCCACAGTCAGTTGCTCAGTAGGGAGCTGTATATGTCTTTTCAGCTTTACCTGTCATGTTTTGATTTGTACTCTTCAAAAATGAGTAGATACTTTGCCACTCCTTGAAGGATTCATGATATGAGTTTGAACTAGCAAGTTGAGTAATGTTTTTCCCAAGAAAAGCATTGTAAAGAAAATCCCTTTGTAGGGAAGCTTCTTATGGGACCTGTGAGAGAAAAACAGAACCAAAGGAGGTAGTATATTCTGTCATGCTACCCTATTTTATCTTTGTGGCACCTGTCACAAAAATAATACAGTATTTTCACCTAAAAAAAAGTTAGATAATCTGTGAATTCAGTAAGCACCTAATAGCGAGAAAAGAATGTCAATGTATGTCCTCCCACTCGCTGTGTAAGGCATCAGAGAAAAATTAGAGATGCTCCCAACTGTTGTGAAAAGCCTTATTGTTCTGTTGTAAGCCCAGATGAAAGCACTGCTTTATTCCATGTTGCCCCTTCACCCCTGCTCCGCCATTCACCTTCAAAGATGTGTGGGTGTTTGCACTAGAGAAAGCTAATGAGCTCAACCTTTGGCCAGGCCTTGTAAATACCTGGTTGGAATCTATATGGGCATCACCAACAGCGTGGGTGCTTAGGAGAGACCCTTTTGTGTGTCCCTACAAGGTGTGCTGTGTAGAAACTAATGTCTTCAGTGCTTTTGTTGTCCAGACCCATCTTATCAACTTAGAAGGTGCCTTCCACACAACTGACAGACATATTGACTACTCACTGTGCCAGGGAACTGAGCAGTGGTCCTAGAGATACGGGGCTGAGAGCAGCCCCAGGAAGCTTGTTGTAAGGCAAAGTAAATACTAATGTGAACAGCAGATTCCAAATACCTAACAGTATTTCTCAGTAGAGAATTGCTGTCTATTTGCTCACGGCTAAAGTCCTTCGATGTTTGCTGTGGCACCAGCGAGATTTTAAATCCAGTTAGGATTGGCATTGATCAGAACCCTGGCTTGGAACATGATCTCATATGATTCTCCTCATATAAGAAAAGCCAGGTTGAGAGTAGTGAGGTAAAATTTCTGCTCTCACATGGGATCAGAGTTTGGGTTACCGTTGGAGAAGGTCACACATGCCAAATTGTGATTGATAAACCACTAATGTTATATATAATTCTGGTATGCAGTCTGTTTACTAAAGCATAATTGTTCATCAAAAATTTTACTTTTGTTTGGGGACTGGAGGATGACCCCTCTGTTAGGAGCACTGGTCCTTCCAGAGGACCCAGGTTGAATTCCCATCACCCACATGATAGCAACCAGCCATCTGTAACTCTAGTTCCAGAGGATCGGACTCCCTCTTCTGGCCTCCATGGGTACTGCATGCACTTGGTGCACAGGCATACATGCAGGCCAAACACCCATACACATAAAATAAAAATAAAATCTCCAGAAATAAATGCTTAATGCTTTCCTTTTGTCTTTTAGGAATTTATTTTGTCAGAAGATTATAACAAGATGACACCTGTGAAAAACTATCAAGGTAGGAGTCAAAGGATTGTTGTTAGCTGGCTCTAAAACTATTTCTTGGTAGTTTTCACTCTCACTTAAATCACTAGGTAATTTAAGACTACTTAAATTACCTGGGGAACAAAAAGAGAAACCCTGAGAGGTCAGTATTATCCCAGTTGTGAACTAAGTTGCTGAGGCAAGAAGGACCTGAGTTACTTGTAAGCCTGGTTCTACAGAGTTTACGCGCACTCCAGACTAAGTCACAGTGACTGCCACGTCTACAGCTTTGTCCTTCTACACCATGCTTCCTGGAATGGTACAGCAGGCTCAGGAAAAGTGGAGGCAGCCTCAGATGAGCCTCATTTCATGTTTGGTGAAATGCTTTGACATGTGTGCAGGGGTGGCATGGGTGGTTGAGTTACAGATTCGATTTGCATCTTCAACATGGGCTTATTGGCCAAATTCATTCTGTCAGTCAGGAGTAGTGTCTGGAAGGGACCTGTATCCAGACCAACAGTATTATGTCATCAGGGCATTGGGTCTCTAAGACCCGGATGTCATTTTGTTCAGATATCTTGATTGCATTCATTCTTTGTGGTCACCCAGCATCCCATGACCTCCTAAGATATTGTGCCATCAAGAGTTTGGAAGGTTCTAGGCATTGCATTCATTAAGATACCTTCACAGAGTATAGAATTCTATTTTTAAAACTTCCTTCAGCACTTTAAACATACTGTTCATTGCTATCAAATCTATCACTAGTTTAATAATTTATGGTCTAATCTACTACCCACTGGGTTTTAGAATTTCAGTGATACGTTTTGTTTTTAAAAGTTTGACTTTGTAAAAATATGACTTTTATTTACAGTGTTCTTGTTTTATTAGCTCCTAGTTTCTTGTTTTTAAATTTGAATTAGAAACAAGATTGAATTGCATGACAATTCCAGTTCCCTTCTCCCTCCCTTCCTCTCCTACCACCGCCCACAACTAAAACTAAACCTATCACATATCCTTTCTTCTAGTCTACACCTGACTCAACCTTTCTGCTCCCTCATGACCTCTGCATCCTTCCTTTTCTTCCCTTCTCATTCTCGTAGCTCCCTCCCCCCTCTTCCCATGTTCTCAATTTGCTCAGGGGATGGTGACCCTTTCCCCTTCTCCAGGGAACAAAGTTTGTCTCTTTTAGGGTCCTCCTTGTTTACTAGTTTCTCTGGCAGTGTGGATTGTAGGCTGGTAATCCCTTACTCTATGTCTAAAATCCACATATGTAGCACCTAGTTTCTATGTCTTTAAAAATATTTATTTTTATCTCATGTATTTGAGTGTTTAGTCTGCACATAAGAGCACCATGTGGGTCAGGCCTATGGAGGCCAGAGAGGGCATTGAATTCCAAGGAACTGGAGTTACAGATAGCTGTGAGTCACCATATAGGTGGTACCCACACCTGGGTCTTCTCTAAGTATGCCAGTTAGCCATCTCCCTAGCTCCTACCTTGATGTTTTGTTTGTCTGTTCTGTTTTGGTTTTGAGACAGACTTTCACTATGTAGCCCAGGTTGGTCTCAGATCTAGACCGAGGGAGTAAGTATATGTCACCCCGCTTAGCTTTAGTTTTCTTTTAAAAAAATTAAAAAGTAATGTTATTATCTCTTTCAGAATACCAGTCATGTTCCAAAGTTGTTGGCATTCTAATTTTTCAAAAATTAAAATAAAATTAAAACTTCTTCAGCCATAAAAAAACCCAAAGAATTCATTTCTTATAAACCTCCACTAGAGGAAACATCAAAGAAAAACCTTTGGGAAGAAAGAAATGTCAATGGAAAATATGCATCTATTCAAAGGATGAAGAACAACAAAATAGTAACTGCAATACAGTGTCTTAAAAGGATATTTGGGTATTTAAAAATAACAACAACACAGAACTGGTATCAGATACAAAATTAAAATGTGTAATGATATTTATAAAAGTAGGAGATAGGGAAAAATAGAAATATGCTGTTGTGAAGTTGTTCTGGTAAATTAGAGATACATACTGTTTACCATAAACAACTGTTACTCTGACAAACACAACTATTAACTAATGAAATAAAATGGAATTGTAAGATTATTTTCAGTGAATAAAAATGAAGGCCAAAGTAAGAGAAAAATGGAGAAAGAATATGGAAAAAAAGATAACAAATAGGAAGGGGATAGGTTTAAAACTAAAATGTCAATAATACATTAAATACAAATAGGTAAAACTAGTAATTAGAAATTGGCAACTTAAAAGAAAAGAGATCAGCAACTTTTAATTAAGTCCATTGAGTGAGGATTTGAGATTCAAATACCTGTACACAAGATGCTGTCAATCATCTGAGAAGCAAGTTGGTGGTAGAATGCTAGAAATCATACCATGAGAACACTAACTAAAGTGGAGCTCAGATAACTTTATTAATATCAAAGCACATTTCAGAGCAAAAATAAAGGGCCAGTCCAACAGAAGGCCATAATGAGCCTTTTTGTACATTTCTGGCATAATTTTGAAATAAGGTTAACAGTGAAGCTTTAGGGACAAGTGGCCACATACACAGTTGTAGTCAGAAGTTAAACCAATAGAACAGGCATGCAGAAGATTGTCAAGGACAATTCAGTGCCTTTCCCAATGGTCACCTGTAGAAATTCCACTCAACTGAAACAAAATGATTTTCAAGTGCTTGCAGAACTTCTGCTTTGATTGAAGCCATAAAGCAAGTCTTGATAAGTTTTGAAGGATTTAGACATATATTCTAAAAATGGGATTAATGTAAAGTTTGATGATGAATAGATCCTTGAGAAATCCTAAACTATGGGGAGGTAAATAATACATGTCTGAAAAATTCATGGGTTAAAGAAGAAATCATAAAGCATTCTGAACCAAATAAAAATGAAAAGAAGGATACTCGTATTTATAGGATACAACTGCTGCAGCTTCTATGGGGAGATTGACAGCTCAAACACTGGCATCATAGAAGAAGCAAGGTCTCAAATCAGAGACCTTGGTTTATGCCATTTGGGGGAGAAAAAAAAAAAAAGAAAAGGAATTAAAAAAACCTAAGCTACCCAGAGGGAAGGAAGACATTATTACAGCAGTTCATGAGGTATGAAACAGATAGTACAGGTTAGTCAGGGACACCAAAGGCTGTTTTCCTGAGTGATAAACTTGTAGCTAGACTAGCAGGTAGGAAGACATCGGAAATTGTCAGTATCAGGAAAGAGTGACCTGACCCTCTTTCAGAAGCTCTATGTGTGCACTGGGTGGTAAGGAAAACTTGTATTAGTTAGGGTTCTCTACAGCAGTGGTTTTGAACCTTTCTAATGCTGTGACCCTTTAATACAGTTGCTCATGTGGTGACCCTAACCATAAAATTATTTTCATTGGTACTTAATAACTATAATTTTGCTACTTATGAATTGTAATGCAAATGTCTGTGCTTTCTGATGTTCTTAGGTGACCCTTATGGAGGGTCATTTGTCCTCCAGAGGTATCATGACCCACAGGTTGAAAACAACTGCTCTAGAGGAACAGCACTGAGAGAATAAATAGGTGACAGACAGACAGATAGATAGATAGATAGATAGATAGATAGATAGATAGATAGATAGATAGGGAGGGCAGGAGAATTTATTAGAATGACTAACAGGCTCTGACAGTCCAAAAGAATGCATTATGGTCATGTGAGCTTTATCTCAAGAATGTAGTGCTGGAGTCATAGTATAAAATTAAATGGCAGCTGGTTGGTGGTAGTGCAGTCCTTTAATCCCAGCCTTTGGCTGGCAGAGGCAGAAGGCTCTTTCAAGGCCAGCTTGGTCTACAGATTGAGTTGTAGGACAGCAGGGATACACAGAGAAATCCTGTCTCGAAACAACAACAACAAAACACAACCAAATGGCAGCCAAATGTAGTTATGAACACCTTTTATCCCAGAACTCAGGAGTTAGAGGATCCCTGTGTTCTAGGCCAGTCTGATGCACATAGAAAGTTCCAGGACAGCTATAGCCAGATAGAGAGACCCTGTCTCAACAAATTAACAAATAAAACGAAACCACAAAAACTCAGTGTTGTATTCCCCCATATAAGGGAAGTAAAGCTCAGACCCATAGTTATGTACCCATGGTCATGGCAGTATGACCCCAGTAAGCCCAAGATAAAAGCCACTAGATGTGCATTGTGAGTTGAATGGACTGATGCAGTCCATTCTGAAGGCATATCACAAAACCTTCATGTAGATGGAAGTTTCTGTCCTGCCCTGTCCCACAGCCATTTAGTCCCAAATAAACACACAGAGGCTTACATTAATTATTGTGTGGCAGATGGCTCAGGTGTCTTATTGACTAGCTCTCTCTTAATTATTAACCCATTTCTATTAATCTGTGTATCTCCACATGGTTTTGGGTTACTAAAGAGTGCCTGGGCGTCCTACCTTCCTGGTAGCTTCGTGGTGTCTCCTTGACTCTGCCTATTACCTTTCTCTATCCCTGTTTGGATTTCCCACCTGACTAAATCCTGCCTGTCCATTGGTCAAAACAGCTTTATTCATCAACCAGCAGGAGAAACATATATTCGCAGCATACAGAAGGACAACCCCCATTACCTTCAGAAGGAAATAGCTTCAGCACACTCCAGCACAGTGAATGCCCATCACAAAAGAACATGTTGTAAAGGAATCCATGTACATGTGGTACTTACTAGAACCAAATCTATAGAGACAGAAAATGGAATGGTAGTTACCATGAGCTGAAGAAGAAGGGAAGTTGTAAGTTAATGTTTAATAGGCTCAGGATTTCTGTTTGAAAAGATGTACAAGTTCTAGAGAGGTAATTACTATCATATGTCAATGTGAATGTTTTTAATTCTACAGAATGTGTATTTAAGAATGTATAGGTTAAAATGGTAAATTATATGTCACATTTTCTGGAAAAAAATTAGAGATTTTATGTATAAATTGCTTGATGAAATGCCCAAAGCATAGTTGACTATGCCAATAAATATTAATTCCTTTGGAAAAATTTCTCCAACCTTGATGGCACATACCTAAGGCAGGAGAATTGTGCATTCAAGGCCAGGCTGTGCTATACCAGGAAAACCTATCTCAAAAAAGTAAAACAAAAATCAAATAAACCAACATTAAAAGTAATGTGGATAAACTAGGGTTGCTGATGATAATATGGCATGGCACAGCCTCTTTCAAAACTGTTTCAAAGAGTTAACATAGTTATCTTGTGACACAGAATTTTTACTCAACTTGTATAACTAGAATTGAAAAAAATATATTCACACAGAATGTGTGGTGAGGCACTGCCTGAGGCTGAAGGCATGATGGTGAGAAAGATGTTCTCCTGCTAAGACCAGCATCCCTCTCTCCCTGGTTCCTACTCACAGAGCCAGACATCAAGCCTGTGTTTTCCTATGAGTTTCTGAAGTTCAATGATTAGTATCTGCTTTTAAAGAGTTTTCTTCCAAGTAAGAGTTCCTTCTCCTTAGACTGTGTTTTAGGTTTTTGAGATTTTGTTTCATTTTTGTTTTCCCAGTGACAACCAGTCACTAAGAGAACTAACTTTGCCATAGAAACCAAGGTTTGCATTGCTGTGTGTGTGTGTGTGTGTGTGTGTGTATGAGTGTTTGGGGTTGGTGGGATGGGGGAGAGGGAAAGAGAGGGAGAGAGAGAGAGAGAGAGAGAGAGAGAGAGAGAGAGAGAGAGAGAGAGATTGAGATTCAGACACCTCACTCTTCATCTCCACAGTGACTAAGAGGGTGTGTTAAATACCCTGAAGTTGGCAGATGGTTTTACTGCAGTGTGGCTGCAGACAGCCACCCACACTGTCTAACACTTCTTGGTAATCAAGGTGGGAAATCTGTATCTCACCATACTTTGAGTATACTCCTGCCCCACCAGACCACTAGTCAGGCTGCAGAGCGTGTCTTTGTTCATTCTGTTACCTGTGTTCATTGTCTGGCATCACATAGAAAGTGAAACTCTTCCTGCCTGAGTTTATTAACTGAGAACCATGACAACTTAGCCACACCACTCTGTGTCACTGTACCTCAGTTTACCCAGGTGAGCAACGGAGATGGCTAGAAGGGATGAACAGTCTCTTCTTACTCTGAAGCTGTGTGATGCCAAAATTCTAATAGGGTTGCCCTTGTATGAGTAACCATGTACCTACTTCTGCATAACAGATATTTCCTTCTTGTCTTAGTTACTTTTTTCTATTACTGTGGCAAAACACCATGACCAAGTCAACTAATAAAAGAAAGTATTTATTTGGGCTTGTAGTTCCAGAGGAAAAGCCCATGATGGCAAAGCAGAGGCATGGAGGCAAGAACAGCTTGAGAGATTATGTCTTGATCCACAAACAGGAAGCAGAAAGATTCCACACTGGGAATGGCATGAGTCTTTGGAAACATCAAAGCCCATCCCCAGGAACACACCTCCTCCAGCAAGGCCACACCTCTGAATCCTTCCCCAACAGTGCCACCAACTGAGGACCAAACATTTAAATATATGAGACTATTGGGGACATTCTCCTTCAAATTACCACCATTTCCTTTAATTAATCAATATTAATTCTCCAAGCATTTGGGTTCTGACAGAAAATTCTCAGAAATTTTGTTATGAATTTAAAAATCAGATTTCAACAACAGCAAAAGAACAATATTATTTTCCTTTGGGGGAAGTGCACATAAACGGACCACAGTGACTGTGTTGCAGATGTCATTCCTAATGTGACTTGTGGTCACACTGATCCAGTAGCCCCAGTATGCTTGACCAGGCTTTGGGGTAGGGAGCTTTCTGAGACAATAATTCTTGGATGGATACAAGCAAGACTGTGAAGAGATAGATCATTAAAAAAAAAAAAAAAGTGAAACAGCAAGTGTCCAAAGAGAGATACTGTTTTTCCCTGTCCCTGGTAGTTTTGTCCTTCAGCCTCTTCTGGCATGGGGAGATGGATGTAATGGTGGGCTGTGTTTTTTCCATTTTCTTTATCAGTCATTTCCTCATCTCTTGATTTTTTTTCAGCACACCAGAGCAGAGTGACGATGGTCCTGTTTGTTCTGGAACTGGAGTGGGTGCTGAGCACAGGGCAGGACAAGCTGTTCGCCTGGCACTGCTCCGAGAGTGGGCAGCGCCTGGGATGTTACCGTACCAGTGCTGTGGCCTCGGGCCTGCAGTATCCTTTGCTGGACAAATCCGTTTCTCCTTGATGCATGAACATTTGGGATATGTGCATTGTTTTCTATTTTTTATTTACTGTTTTTCCTTGTGTAAAAAAGATACTCAGAGACTCCTAAGGTACAAGGTATTGGGGGATCCCATGTAAACAGAGTGGAGTGAGACAACAGGCCTGCTGACTGTGATGAGGGATGTTCTGACACCTAGACAGGACACAGTCCCATGTGTGATTCTCAGCTCTCAGGACTGTGGTCCATGGACCTACAGCCATCAACAAAATACATTTGGTTTTAATAGACAAGTCATTTCTCCTACAGGAAATTCCCCTAACGTCATGAATACCCTATTGGTGCTTAGAGAGTGGGCCATGAGATTCCTGTTCATTTAGAAATTGGGGGGGAGGGAGCAGTGGTGCTGCCCAAGTTTAGAATCTGAGTTCAGTCCCTAGAACTCATGCTGGAAGAAAACAACTGGCTACTGGTAGTTGTCCTCTTATGCCCACGAGCACACTGTGGTCCACACTAATAATAATTAAATTTTAAATTAAATTAAATTTTAAGTATTTCTTGTCAGACTGCCATGCCAAGGACCAGTGAGCTAGCTGTCTTCTAGATGGTACCTTGCAACTTCATTCCAGGCCTGAAACCTATTCAGAATCCAGAGTGTGATATTCTTGTCTCCCAAGTTGTCAGTCCATGTACTTGGGGTGAGCACCTACTAATACCAGGGAAGGCTCACTCCTTGCTGCCGGGGCTCTGACAAGCCTGGAGTCAATTGGTGTGCGACATGTTTCTCCCACTGCAAGGAGAAAAGTTCTCTTGTGTGAAAAAGCAGACTCCTCCAGTTTCTGACATGTGAGGCAGGACATGGAAATCAATACCGTCCATAGAAGCAGGAACAGTGGGGCCTGCTTTGGGGTTTTATCTCTGTATTTATAAAGTGTCTAGTCAGTTGTCAATAATATGACAGCATGCCATGAGCTGTCTCCTTGCACCTGGGTGATAGTGGGTGTGTTTATGAGTGCACAGAGGCTAATGATGCCCTTGTTTCTCATGAGAAGGGCAAGATTGAAGGGATGAAAAAAAGACCATAGTGGAAGATTGCAAAGGTGGAGAGTTTCCAAGACCAGAGACAAAGTTAACAAGGAGAGGGAGCTTGTCCTTGACAGGGCAGCAGCTTCAGATGAGCCCGCTGAAGCCTAGAAGGTGCTGCGCTGCCAGTGAGTAAGATGGGGGCCACTGTTCTTGGTTTTCTGCCACGGACTTCTGCTTTGTTCCCTTTGCTCTTGGATAGCAGTGCTGATAGCATCCTGTGACTTACACTGGTGCTTTTTGTTGTTGTTGTTGGGTGTGTGTGTGTGTGTGTGTGTGTGTGTGTGTGTGTGTGTGTGTGTGTGTGTGTTCAGACAGCCCCTTCCAGAAGATGCATGCTCCACCAAATTCATCTTAACAGTGACTGTTTTCAAGCTACAATGCCAATCCTTTCCCCTGAGTATCTTGGTAGTAATAAACACTGATGGCATGATAATCCTATGCTTTTACCAGAGGAGGTGATCTAAGCCACGAACCATGTGGGTTTTTTTTTTTTGTTTGTTTGTTTTCCAAAGCCAGGGCCTCCACTCCTAGCCACTTCCTGGAATTTCCTGGTGAATAGGCAAATAGTTAGGCAAATTACTAACCTGTTATGGTCCCACCTCTACCTGTTTCCTCCCTTTCCTCCTGCCACTGTCCACTCTTAAGAGAGTTTTGTTTATTTGTTATTTTGTTTGTTTTTAGCAAAATGGAGGAAAGAAGATCTGTGAAGCAATGTAAATGCAGAGGGTGAAGTCTTCACCTCTGTCTTTGCAGAGGACAGCTGCCAGTGCAGGAGAGGCCTCCACAGATGAATGACACAATACTGTCCTGTCTCCACCTGTCATTTTTCAAAGTTAGCAAGTGACAGACTGTATCAGACCACATTCATATGTCCTCTTCTTCCAGGCCTCTCGGTAGAAGGTAGCAGTGACAATAACCGAAACTCAAGCCAAGAAACCAAGGAGACAAAAAGACTGACCAGTTCACCTGTTGAGCTATCAGTTCCCAAGAAACATCAAAGTCTTGGATTACTTTGCTATGTACATGACCCTTAGACATTAAGTGACTGACCATAGTAACAGCGGTAATGAGGAAGGAGAGGAAAAGGAGGAAGACGCGAGCTCAGCCGTTCCTCAGAACTCAGTGCCCCTGCACTTGCTGTGGCTCGCACTAGTAAAACTGTGTGCTTAGTTCCTATGTAGCAACAAAGGCTTGGAGGCCCAGAAAGGCCAACGGATTTATTTGTCATTGTCCTGGCAAAGCGGGATGCTAAAATTTGGGTACTAAGATTTCCTGTACACATCTGCCCAGTCCAGAGTGTACTCTTTCCCGAAGGTCCCAAAGCAGGGCAGACGAAGTGGGGCTATTTGCCTCATGCTGTACTTGCCAGTCATTAGTTAAGGAGATTCTTACCCACCATCCCCTATCAGTGACTTATTATTTGACCATGTTTTGACCTTTTTTTTATGCTTCCATAAAATAATTCAGTATGCTTCATGTTTTATCTTTTTCTTCAAGAGTGGCAGAGATATTTCTAAAATGTCTCCGTGTGTGGTGAGATGTTTTTCTACAAGTGTCATCGCTTAGGTGTATTCCCAGTCAGGTCAAGAGTTCTGAAAAGCTGTTAAGATTATCTTAGTTTCTTAATGGTGCCCTTAATGTCAGTTTTGAGCACTCCAGCACTGGATTACTGTCATTTTATTTCAACTCCTTTCTAAGTCCCTGTTGAGACCATGGCTTGGTTTGGGTTTTTGTTTTTGATGTTGTTTGTTTTTCATTTTTTGAGACAGGATCGATCTCTCTCTCTCTCTCTCTCTCTCTCTCTCTCTCTCTCTCTCTGAAGCCCTGGCTGTCCTGGAGCTTGCTCTCAGGCTGTTCTTAAAGTCAGATATCTGCCTATCTTTGCCTGCCAAGTGCCACCACCCCTAGAAAAAAAATACTTTAATGGCACTTATCTATAACTCATATCCACTGATGGTATGTATGTCTGTCCCTTTTTGCCACAATGTTCTGAAGCAAATTCTAGATGCTAATGTCATTTTATCTAAACATGTTTTTGTTGTTGTTTTCTTGAGACAGGGTTTCTCTGTGTAGCTTTGAAGCCTGTCTTGGAACTCGATCTGTAGACCAGGCTGGCCTCTATCTCACTGAGATCCACCTGCCTCTGCCTCCCGAGTGCTGGGATTAAAGGTGTGCACCACCACCACTCGGCTTAAACATTATGAACCTCTAAAACTAAATATTTATTCATAATCACAAAGATATAGTTCCCTCTAGAAATTAATAAAGTTCCATAGTTCTAAATCCTCTTTTCTCAGCTTATGGTGCTTGCTTTGAAAGTCACTTTTTGTAACAGATTTCTTTGAAATTGGATGTAGACACACTATACCTCATCTAGATATTGTCATGTAATCTGATTCCTCCTCTGGAACACTTGCTACTGTCTCCGGAAGCTTCTGATTTGCTTTCTAGATAGCCCTCATTCTAAACTGACCCCTCCACATCCATTGGCATCATGTACTTTGTTAGACCCCCCAGAAAACTCAGGTATCCGGGGTCCCAGGCCACGACCTCGGGTCACCCCAATCACCAGGCGGATTCCTGCTGCAAACTGCATGAGGATTTATTGTTTTTTAACGAGGTAACCCCATGTTAGACCCATGTTAGCTTGGGTCTTTCACCCATCCGCCATGGCAGATGGCTGGCAAAAGATAGCTCTTAGGGGCTCCCGAGAGATCTTGTAGGGCAGCGTAAGGGGAGTGTCTAGGGGTGCGCACAGGCTCAGGATTGGTGTGCCTCCAGGCTTGGAGGGCTTGCCCTGTGTTGATTGGCCAACTTGTTGTTATGGCCCATAGGCCCTCCCAGGGTGGTTGCTATGCTCTGTGCGTCATTGCTGTGCACCCAGGGTCCTAAGGCATAGTGCCACCAGCTAGCTTCTGATTGGTTCCTTGTCATGAGGCAGGCGTCTGACCTCTAAGTGACCAAGGCAAGGTTATGGCAAGCACGTGTTACTGTCATGGCTGCCAAAATGGGGAGCTGGTCCCTTCAGTTCAGCTTCCTGTGCCCTCGAGTCTGTGTGTGTCCAGCCTTTTGTACTTCCTTATGGTGATGGTTCTGTGTACTTTACCCTGCTACCTATCAGGAGCCCTGAGAACTGGGTCATCATCTTTACTCAATCAGAGCACAATTCATGACTCCAGGACTGTCCAGTGGCTTTAGTGAGTGGGATTGTTGCTCCTTTTGTCCCAAGAACAATCAGTGACTTGGGCCTCTTAGCTCCTAACCCTCTACTAGCATTTCTGTTACTGGTTCTGTCCAGTGCCAAGCTTTAGCTGAGTCATTTCCTTCATGGAGGAGCAAAGTGGCCATTTTCTAGTCTTATCATATCTTCCTCACACATGCTGTTTGGATTTATTTGAAAACTAAAGACTTTCCTTACTATCTAGTGTTACTTATCAACCCTTATATGACATTTTTGTAGAAAAAAAGATAATCTTAATTCTTGTCATTTAAATTTTCATTTGTGCTTTCATGTTTGTTTGAGAACAGGTTTTGATACACAGCCCAGGCTGTTTGGAACTCACCATATAGTTCTTCCTGGCCCAAATCTCCATCTTCCTGCTTCAGCCACCTGAATATGTGGGAGGTACAGGCCTATACCACCACACCTGACCAACTCCTTTTCATTAACTGCTAATTTAGGTAGAGAGTTAGTGCCCTGCAGAGCAGAGTTTTCCTTTTCTTTCTTTCTCTCTTTCTTTTTTTTTCTTTCTTTCTTCCCTCCTTCCTTCCTTCCTTTCTTTCTTTCCTTCTTTCTCCCTTTCTTTCTTTCTTTCTTCCTTTTCTTTTCTTTTTTTTTGTGCTGTTAGGAACTCTTAGCAGTTTTTGTTTTTGTTTTTGTTGTTTAGGTTTTTAAAAAGAATATATTTAACATATTTTAATAAATGATATTTTTAAAATATTAAACTCCAATCTTTGGCTAGTAAGAGTGTCATATACTAGATTGTGTGTGTGTGTGTGTGTGTGTGTGTGTGTGTGTGTGTAAGAGAGTGTTTGTCTGTGTGTGTGTCTGTGTGTATTGCTAGTGACCAAACCGAGGGTTTCACAAATGATAGACAAGCACTACCATTGAGCTACATTCCAGACTCTCCTCCATGTCATTTCATAGTTTTTATTTTTCTTGGATTTTTTATCGAAGTTTTAGGTTCACGGAGAAAAAATTAAATATTAAGATTTCCATTTGTAACAAGTAATAAACCTATGTTAGCATGTGCAACTTGTATCAACTCAGTAGGCTTTAAAATCACCATGGAAACACATCTGTAATCATGTGTTGTATGACACTATTCCTGTGGAGATGTGAACAGTTGTCTCCTCACCCCAGGCAGGGAGCAAAAGACAGACCAAAGTACAGATACCTCCAGGGTTCAACTTGGTGAAACAGTGAGTTTTATTGGGCCAGGGATTATTTACAGGAGCAGAAATTACTCAATGACAGCTGCTACCAAAAATCCATTCCAGCCAGGTGACGTCTCATGAAAGATGGAATCCTGCACACTGCACAACCTGTAGGCAGCTCAGGATGAGCCTCATCCAGGTGGCTCACTGGTCGCAGCTTCCAGGTGGCCTAGCTAGTTTCTGTTTCTTCTGGGTAGTTCAGATGGTCTGGACATCTTTTAGGACACAATTGTGTCCATTGTCATACAGCTGGTCTGGAAGTGTCTCTCAGCAGTCCTTACAGCTTCTCTATGCTTGGGGAGGGAGGGACTGAGTGAATCTGGTCTTCCAGATTCTTCCAGAATCTTCACTTCTTAAGACTTTAAACATTTTAACATCCCTGAAGGATGGAATGTTTCATTTCTGCCGAAAGGAATTTCCCTCAATGTGAAAGGTTTCCTCAGAGATTTCAGAATAGTTACACAATAGCACACTGGTGAAGGATTCTAGAGTAGGTTAACTGCCATGAAAAGAAACACCCTAAATGCAAAATAATGAAAAATACATAAAATTAGAAGATAAACATCCTCTGAATTGAAAACAGAATAAAATGGATGAATACTAGGTTTCTGTGTGTCTTAAATATCTGATTCTAGACCCCCCTATTCTAGGCCATTTGTCTCTCTGTCAATACTCACACTTTAAAGAAATTTGATAGGCCAGACATTTATTTAGCTGGCACTGCCTCTAACGAGAGCAGTCACCATTTTAAAAGGCAGGGATTTTGGACTCAGTAGTTCAGCAGCCCACCCAGGCAGACTGCATACTGTGATTAAATCACAGCATCTCATCTGTACGTTCCTCACAAATTTACCACAGCAATAAGGGGAAAGACTGATCAAAATGTATTACATGAAAAAATAATAAATAAAAAATTAAAAAATCAGAACAACAAAAAATCCAAATGAAGTATTTCACCTTCATTTGCAGATCACAAAAATGTATGTTGAGGCTCCACCACACCCACATAAACCTCACAGAGTGACAGGGGGAAAGATACAATATGTATGCTTGACTCAGAAGTAAGGTGAGCCCCACTCACCAGGCTGCTTTCAGAGATGAATAGATGAAAATGGCTGAGCAGTGACTGGTCAGACGGCCACAAGGACCTCAGCGCAGAGCTCCCTTCACATGCCCAGCACTGCAGAGTTGGCAGTCAGTAGCACATAAAGCCTGAGGAGCAGGAGACAGCTATGACATCACAGCAGCTGCAGGCTAGAACAGGAAGCCTTGAAACTTAAGGTGCTGAAACGGTGTTTTCACTAGAGCATGTCTTAGCACCCCTCTCACAAAAATAAATAAACAAACAAACAAATAAATAAATAAATAAAACAAAAACAAAACCCCCATTTATAGCATATTTTAATATCTGGTAGATTTGCATGCTTTCAAAGTATTGCTGTATCTTCTTGCTTATTTATTTTTCTTTATGGATTTTGGAAAGAACATATCATATTGCATCTGACTGTCTAGCATTATTGTACATACTGCATTTTCTTAGTCCCCTTTCATGTCTTCCAGGACCTATCTTTAAGTTCTGCTAGCATGGCATTACATATTCCTTGTTAAACTAATGTAGATTGTTTTGGTTTTTACTCTCATAAATCCCCACTTTACAGTCCTTAATGATTACATGATAGATTTGATGTTGAAACCCGTCATGTGTTTATTGGTGATCACTCAGGCCAAGTCACCATCCTCAAACTGGAACAAGAAAACTGCACACTGCTCACATCCTTCAGAGGGCACACAGGTAAGATCTGAGCAGAGTCTCCTGTCCCCACAGCTTATTCTGGTGCTCAGGTGTTATGTTTGAAGGTGGCAGAGAACAACCTGGGCTCGGGCAAAACTCCAGATGACACAGGTACACTTAACTGATTGTAAAATGCTTCGGTAAGAGAGAACACCAAAAAATTTTCTCCGTGAGTCAAACAGAAGAGAAACCATTCTCTTTTGAGAATGTTAAGGGCTGGCTGGATTTTGGCTTGCTGTGGAGAAGACCAGTGCTCGCATGTGTTATCACGGTGCTTGAGACCATGTGGCAATGGTTCAAAACCCAGGAGACTGGTAGGACACTTGTCCTTTTCACACTTGAAGTGAGAAGATGGTGTCCCAGACAGGAAGGGAAGCGAGACTCTGTAAAAGGGGACAGATTCATCTTTCCTGTTGGGCCCTTGAGTTTATAACCCAAGGTCCCCTTATATCACTAGTGTGCTCAGGATCATCTCTGCAAGGTAAAAGAAAAAACATAATCAATCATTTGCAACCCTGGAAAGACTTGAATCAATGACAGTAATGAATATTGGCATTTTTTGGAATGGCATTGGTTCCAGAAAAATGTTCATTTTGGGGAAATGTGCCACTGCCTGGTTTTGTGGTTGCTAGTGGGCTTTGGTGTAGTTTTTTGCTTTTGTAAATAAGTAACTCATGCTTCGGTATAGAGATAATACTCCATCTGGATGTCATAGAAAAACAAAAGTACGCTCGGGCGTTGGTGGCGCACGCCTTTAATCCCAGCACTTGAGAGGCAGAGGCAGGCGGATCTCTGTGAGTTCAAGGCCAGCCTGGTCTCCAGGTCGAGTGCCAGGATAGGGTCCAAAGCTATACAGAGAAACCCTGTCTCGAAAAGCAAAAAAAAAAAAGAAAGAAAGAAAAAGAAAAAGAAAAAGAAAAGTAGATGGGAAAGGATGTTTAATTAAATAGTCCATTTAGTCATAAGGGATTTGCAGGGGTAGAGCAATAAGGGGTCAGAGAGAGATGGCTCAGCAGTTTAGAGTGCTTGCTGCTCTTGCAGAGGACCCGAGTTCAGTTCCCAGCACCCACACTGGGTGTCTCACAGCTGCCTGTAACTCCAGCTCCAGGGATCTGACCTGTATGTCTAGGCTCCAGTGTCTCCTTCCTTTGCCACATGCTTCCCAGTGGGCTCATGTCTTCAGTTGATGGCATCCCTCCTTCTTGGTGATCTTGGAGTATTGAGATGCAGGCTGACTGTCTGCCTTACTTGCTTGTGTGAGCCAGGATCCCTGTCCACATTCACTCTTGAGATTTGGATATCGATATCATTGCAAGAGTGTCATTTCCCAGCTGGGGGCAGAGTCGCCTGTTTTCCCTCTCTGTGTGTTGAGTGCACCCCTCATGCCAGTCTCATAACCACCCTCCCCGTTTCTCCTTCCCTCTCCCACCACCTCCTTCAAAAGCTATCCGCTTTTAAATGCTTTATTTCTTGCCTGTTCTATATATATTCTGCTACATACCTAAACAAGACCTTTTTCTTATGTGTCTTCTCACCTCTGTATGGGAACCATCCTTTCTGTGGGCCCAGACTAATTCTCAGGAGCCGCACACCAAAACAGACTCCCTTTGGGCAACAGCTCCTCTTCATTTATTCTTACACTTAAGGTTCTTGCTCCTCTGTTCAGGAAACAAACCAACCCTTCTCAGTCCCACATCCTCCTGTAGCTGTTCCTATTACTCTTCTAATTCTATTCTTGCAGAACTGAAAAGTTTACTATTTTAACCATTTTGTTTGGCACATTGCTGTTACTGTCATCACCACCATCTATCACAGACCACTTCATCTTTGCAGCTGCAACCCTCTGCCCTTAGATACTAGCCCCTCCCCCATCACCCTTGGCTCTTTCGGTGGAATGTGACTCCTCCTAGTGCTTCTCCATTTGCAAAGGGCTTGTTTGCCTGCAGACCATAGCAGCTAGTTCCTCCCAGAATGCCTTTCCCTGACTGCTCCAAGGCCTTCTTCACCTTCTGTTTACCTTCCAGCCTAGAGGCAAACGTCTGGTTTGCCTCCTACCTTATTTGAATTGCTCTCCTTCGGGTTACCCTTGGTCTTTCATAACTGTGGACTAGCCTTTCCCACCTTCCTTTTGCCTGCCTCTGGCTGTTCTCAGAATCCTCACTTCAGCCTCCAGTCCTCTTCTCCTGGTCTTTTGCTCCATGGTGTTAATCTCACTGGATACTCTCAGTCAGAAAGAAAAGCACAGTGTTGTCCTCAGATTCCTCAGAGCCCAGTGAGAGCCAAGCAAGCTACAATGTAATGGTGCCTGATGACAGAGGCCTGGGAAAAGAGGCACCAGGGACTTCCGGTGCATACTTGGAAGGAGTCATTGGAGGGGGCATTGAGGGAAGCTGAAATCCTAGGGGATGAGTGAGTGTTGAATTCTTAGGGAGGAGAGGACATCCAGGAGAATGTTGGCATGGTGAGGGCACAGAGATGCAAGAGCCTGTGCTCTGAGCATTGACAGTGCCGCTCACCTCTCCAAGGCTGTGCCTTTCTGTGTGGAGGAGGAGCAGAGGAAGCTGTGGCAAGGTAGCCAGAAGAAAGCCAGTCACTTAAGATCCCTAAGACTCACCCCAAACTTACTTTGGCATCCTTGAGAAACTATTAATGAGATTGAAGCCAAGAAATAGAGGCTTCTGATCCCTGGGAGCTGGAGTTGCAACATTCTGGTTCTCTGTAAAAGCAGCATACACTCTCAACTGTAAAACCATCTCCCCAACTCCAGAAACTGTCTCTTAAAATGGGGTGCTGGGGGGGAGGGGAGTGGATAGATTAAAATGTATGAAGTTAAAGATTAGCATGGTGGGGGCTAGGGTGTTGCTCGGTGAGTAGAGTACTTGCTAGCACAAGTGAAACCTGGGTTTGCTCTGGGAGCAGGGGGTTGTAGGGAGAACGTGCCTGCTGCTAACTAACCAGATTGGATTAGGCAGAAGTGGCCTCTTGACTCTTTAGAAAGTCACTCAGGGATCCCCTGAGTTCTATGTTGTTATTACCAAGGCAGCAGGTGTGAGAAACTGTTTCTGCCCTCTGTGATGTTAGCTGGATATGGCTAAGAGTCTTACATTTTCTGCATGCTTGCTGTAATATAAAATGTTGCTTAGGTATTGGCTCTTAATCTTTCTCATAGTTTAAGGCATCCCCGTCTCGTTTTTTATCATGAAATATCTTTGAAGCAGATGGCATGGCTCAGGAAGGTTGCTAGCTCCCATGAGGGCAAATCAAGTCATCAAGACACTTAACTTCTTGCAGAGAGGAGCTGCACCAGTTGGCTGCAGCACAGCTTGCTCAGCTCCACTGAAGGCACAGTTCACAGTATTAAGCTCTTTCTATATAGGAAGCCTCTTCTATGCCTTGTGTAGTCCCAAATTCTTGGAAAGGGGTTTTTATAAGGGCCAAACAAAGACCAAGGCCAGATCCATTAGAGTAGAGAGATGTCTCATTGGTCCAGACTTGACGCACACATAGAGGTCTTCAATGTTTATGGATGGAGCCATGGTCAGTCTTTCTCCCAGTCATTCTCTTCCATAGGGAGCCATGGCCATTTGCCCCTTCATTGTCTCTTATGATGTAGAAACTCATACAGAAATGTGGAGTAGTGATGGAACCAGCCCAGCAGCTGCAGTTTCTAGTCAGTGGAGGTCTATTTTGTGTTCCTAGCTCCCTCTGCTGGTTTTCTTTCTGGAGCTGAATGCCAAGTGTCATGATTCTTTTCTGAAGACATTTCTTCATATACACTTCTACTAAAGAGCTCTACATTGAGCTGAACAAATCAGGGAAACCTATTTTGATTTAAGTTAGTAAGTTAGTAGCATGAATAACATCTTCTTTATTTGTATGATTTTTGTTTTGTATTGTAAGGCCTTGCTGTGTAGCTCAGGCTGGTCTCAAACTCATAGTGATGCTTCTTCCTCAACCTCCCAAGTGTGCTGGAATTACTAGTGTGAGCCACCATGCCCAGTCTAAGAATTGTTTTAATTAACATGAACATATGAGAAACAGGAGGGTTTGAATGTAATCAGTCAAAGCTTTCTAATTCACCAAACAATGAAGCACAGCCTTATTCATTCACTATTTAGGAGAACCAAAAGGAATATTGTGGCAACTACAAAAGCAACTGAGAAAACCAAGAAAATTCTATGCAGATTGTATCTTCAAATAATTGCATTGAGAACTTCAGCTCTTATTAAATGGACACTTGCACCCAGATCTTTCTGTGAGATCAGACTTATTGTGTGGAGGTTGCTACTGAGTTGATCAGCATTGGCTTGTTCTCTGTGTGAATGGTGCCAGTCTAGGGTCATTAAAGCAATTGTAACCCTCATCTCCACTCACCTTCTGTCTAGCCTGCAAACACAGCAGACCAATAATTACAGGTAATTCATCAAGATGTTGTGTGGGCAGAAGTGCTATGAAGCCCTGATGTCTCCCGTGGGCTGCTGGAGAGCAATAAGAGAACCTCTTTTGTGCAGTCGGAGAAATGACACTAGCTGCTCTCCCAGGGACCCAGGTTCTATTCCCAGCACCCACTTGGCAGCTCACAACCATCTGCAACTACACTTCTAGGAGATCCAGTGCCCTCTTCTGGCCTTTGCAGGTACCAGGTATACACATGACATATATGCAGACAAAACACCTACACACATAAAATGAATAAATAAGATATGCAGGAAAAAAAGAGAGAGAGAAAGGGAAGAGCTTACAGGGAGAACTCACAAATCCTCACCACTTCAGCCTCAAGCAAAAGGTAGTGAGTTTGGTGACATTTTATTTAAGCAGCACAGTGGTCTGAGTATTGGCTCAGTGAGTTTGGTGACATTTTATTTAAGCAGCACAGTGGTCTGAGTATTGGCTCAGGCCCTCTGTTAGCTAATGATTAGCCTGCCCAACTTACTGTTGAGGGTGTGAAGCCAGACTCTGAACAAGTTACTCATCACACTTAGACCCAGCAAGTTTCTAACCCTTGAGTTCAGTTTTACAAGGCTTTTGTACATGTCTCAAAATTAATCAATTAATTAATTAGTTAAAAAAATAGTTCACTAAGCATTTTGGTAACAGGTATTAACTTTCTAAAAACATTTAGACTCTGACCCAGTTCCACATTTGACATTCTTGTCTATGTAACAATAAAAAATGTGGAGCAAGGGGGTGGAGTCATACAGCTACCCAGGAGGCTAAGGCAGGGGAATCACTTAGCCAGAGTTAGAAGCCAGCATGAGCAAGCAAGTCCTTGTTGTTTAAAGAACAATAAATAGTAAAGAGATGCCAGAGAGAGATGTCTCCACAGCAGTTAGGAGTGCTTGCTGCTCCTGTAGAGAACTGGAGTTGGTTCCCAGCACCCACAGTAGAAGGTCCACAACTACTTGTAACTCCACCTTAGGGGATCTGATGCCCCTTGTGACCTCTACAGGCACCCACATGAATATACATACATGCTTATAAGCATAAACTTTAAAAGTTGAAAAAATAATGAAAGAAATGTGAGCGGGATGGTGGTGGCGCATGCCTTTAATCCCAGCACTTGGGATCATAGGCAGGTTGATTGATCCCTGTGAGTTCAATACCAGCCTGGTCTACAAGAGCTAGTTCCAGGACAGGCTCCAAAGCTACACAAAGAAACCCTGTCTTGGAAAAGAGAAAGAGAGACAGAGAGAGAGAGAGAGAGAGAGAGAGAGAGAGAGAGGAAGGAAGGAAAAGAAATGTGAATAGTTTTTGCTGAATTGCTTATTTCTGCAAATTTATAATATTCAGTTAAAAGTTGAGGAAAATTAAATAAGTAAAAACAACCCAGTATGAATACAATGTTTTAAGATATCCCACCAGTAACAATTACATTCATAAAATATCTCTAACATAGATTTTACCATTGCAACTCTTCGGGTGGTTTTGGTTTTGGTTTTGGTTTGCATTGTGGGCCTTGTGCAAGCTAGGCAGGTACTCTACCACTGTTTGCATCCCTGGCCATTTCATCCACTTTTAAGTTTACAGTAGTTCAGGGAAATATTTCTTTAGTGACCTAACTTTGTAACAGAGTCCATCATCCACAAAGTCTCTTGAGTTGATGGATATTTTCAAACCATCCTTTTTCACGGTGCCCACAGTTGTTTAAATTTGATGCAGTGCTTTAAAAAGCTGAGCTACCCATTTTACATGTTTTATAGGAAAAGTCACATCTGTCACCTTGCTTTAGTTGTTTCCCTGAGTGTAGTGGCTTCTGTAGTGAAGCAGGCCACTTCAGATTTTCAAGCATTCCATGATGAAAAGGTCAACTGGGTGAAGGCATCACATCAGCAACACTGCTTACCCAGGAAAGAGGTGTCTGGGGCCTGCTTCATCTGCTAGGAGCAAGGCCAAGGGCATTCATTCCCCTTCCTCAGCACACAGCTGCTGGCTTATCTGCCTATGCAGAATGAATAGCTGCTGCCACCAGCCATGCAGAGACACTGATGAACAAGCCACAGCTCTGGCCTCCCAGGGCCTCTTGTCTCTGAAGTGATAGCCACTCTAGGGCAACATATGTATGAGTAATGAGAGCAGTGGTGGGGTCGCCTCTAAGGACATAGGATTTAGGTAAGGTGTGGTGGCATGAGAAAAAAGGTTTCAAATTTTCATTCATCTGCCCCTCATTCTGCCCTGGTGCTGTGCTTGGCTGCTGATGGGGGAAGGTGGAGTCTGTGAGGGCAAAGGCCCTGTTAACCACACGTTGCTAGGGGAAGTGGGGCTCTTTGTGAACAGTGGTGTATGCAAGCAGAATGCAGTGCAGGGAGAGGAAAAATCTGGTTAGGAAATCCACAGCAGTGGGAGCAAGGAGGGCCCTGCAACCTTAAGAGTCTGCTGAAAACAGTTAGGAGAGAAACTTACCTAAAAGCCTCCATGATATAAGACTTTATTAATACTTTATTAACAATTAAAATTGGTCATTTTTAAAATGTCAGGTTCCAATAAATATGAGCTACTTAATATCCTCAGAATATTTTTCAATAATATTTAAAAGTGAATGTCTCTGACATTCCTTGGTATTTGTTGGCTGTGTGTTCATTTTATATAAGAAAATTTGTTTCTATTCTCAGTGTTCAAAGACTTTGATCTATAAGGGGATTGTTGGAGAAGAAACTCTGTGATAATACTGAGTAGCCATACACCCAAGCACCTGCAGCTTAGGCCAGTGGTTCTCAACCTTCTTAACATTGTGACTCTTTAATACAATTCTTCATGCTGTGGTAACCCCAACCATAAGATTATTTTCTTGCTACTTCAAAACTGTAATTTTGCTGCTGTTATGGATAGTAAGGTAAATATCTATGCCTTCCAGTGGTCCTAGGCAATCCCTATGAAAGGGTCATTTGACCCACAGGTTGAGAACCGCTGGCTTCGTCCTGTTAATTGATCCAGTCAATTCTCATCCAGTAGGTACTGAGTAGTTGTAGTGATCACAGTAGTACACCTTCCTCACTTCATAGGAAACTAGTAGTTTCCTTCCTGTTGCTGTGACAAAACAGTATGACTTATGAGAGTGTTTATTTGGCTAATGCTTCCAGACCACAGTCCATCATTGAAGGACGTCAAGGCATGAACCCAAGCAGGAACCTGAAACAGAAACTGGAGTAATGCTACTTGCTGGCTCACTGACTGGCTCATGCTCAGCCACTGTTGTATACTTCTCAGGACCACCTAAAGATGGTGTCACCCACCGTGGGCTAGCTCCCTGCATCATCAAACAAGAGAATACTTCACAGGCATGGCCATAGGCCAGTTCAGTCTAGGCAATCTTCAGTTGAGGCGTCTTTCTCAGACAGCTCTAGACTGTATCATGTTGACAATTAAAGCTAAGTAGGACAAGGATACTAGCACTTAGGATAAAATTGAATTATAAAGGATTTATAAACTCAAGTTCCCAAAGAAACAATTTCTACCTCTGATGTGTCCCTAATTATACCTAATATCCAAATATAAAAACACATCACAGTATTCTCAAATAAAGACATGCAAATAACCAGCAGTTATAAGGGGAAATGTTCAATATCACTAATCATCAAAACCACAGTGTAGTGTCCTCCCTCTGCAGGTAAAACGATATGCTGTCTAGTTTCATGTCAGCTTCACAAAAACCAAAGTCATTGTGGGCAGTGCCGCCCTGGGCTGGTGGACTTGAGTACTATAAGAAAGCAGACTGACTGAACAAGCCATGAGGAACAAGCCAGTAGGCAACACTCCTCCAAGGTTTCCAATTTAGCTTCTGCTTCCAGGTCCCTGACCTGCTTGAGTTCCTGCCCTGACTTCCCTCGGTGATGGACTGAGGACAGAGTGGGAGATGATAGAGACCCTCACCTTCCCACATTGCTGTAGGTCATGGTGCTGGTGTTGTAGTACAGCAACAGAAGCTTTAGCTAAGACAAATGGTTTTGATAAACAGCAGCAAGTAGAGCAAAGCTGTGGGGAAAGGTGCTGCACACTAGTGGGAGAATTGTAAATTATTTCAGCCTTTATAGAAAGTATTATGGAGGGTGTTCGGAAAATTAAAACTAAACTGACTTCTAGGCATGGCAATACATGTCTGTAATGCGAACTCAGGAGACAAAGCCAGGAGGATCATCAAAAGATTGAGGCCAGGTTGGCCACATAGTAACACCCTGTCGCAAAACAAATGAACAAGAAATAAAATTCATGATCCAGCTACTAACGTTGTATTCAAAGAAACTGGAGTTGTTATACCAGCGATAGCTGCCCCCATTATTGTAGAATTTGTTATGTAACTAAGGAATAAGAATAGATAACCTAATGTATTATGAATGGATAAAGGAAATGTTATATGCTTACACATATGATGGAATGTTATCGTGCCATAAAATGGATGAATTTGTCAACCACATTTGATGGGCTAGAGGACATTATGTTAAATGAAATAAGCCAGACACAGAAAAAAAGTACTACAGCAGTGCGGTGGTGAAACATGCCTTTAATCTCAGCACTTGGGAGGCAGAAGCAGGCAGATCTATGTGAGTTTTTAGGCCAGCCTGGTCTATAGATTGAGTTCCAGGACAGGCTCCAAAGCTACAGAGAAACCCTGTCTTGTAAAAACAAAACACAAAAATACCCAAACACTGAAAGGAAGGAAAGGAGAGAGAGAGAGAGAGAGAGAGAGAGAGAAAGAGAGAGAGAGAGAGAGAGAGAGAGAGAGAGAGAGAGAGAGAGAGAGAAGTACACATGATCTCATATAGAATTTAAGAAGTTGGCCTCATAGAAATAGTGGTTGGAGCAGTGATCCCCAGTTGGTCAGTATGTACCAAATTGCAGTTAGAAACAGTAAGGTCTGATGCTTTGTTGCCCAGAAGGTAACTGTTACTAACAGAATGGTATTGGGTATCTCAAAATAGCTGGGAAGGATTTTGAGTACTCCCACTGATGAATGTTTGATGAGATGAATATGCTAATTACTTCTTTGGTTTCCTTGTTATATGATGTATACCTAAATTAAAACATCACATTGAACCCCACAAATATGTACAGTTATTATTCGTCAAGAAAGGAAGAGCCCTAATTGAGCATTTTAATTCTCATTTTCTTCTCATTTATTATTGTCAGGATGAGCAGCAGGTCGTAGCTAAGAAAATACAGTTAATACTTCCAAATAATTTGGTATTTCCCTTAGAACTGCACTGGTGAACTGCCCTCTGTTGTTTATAGAAGTTGATCTTATGTTATATTACAATGGTGTGGCTGCTTAAAGGCTGAGTTTTTATTTTGTGAGCAATTTTTCTTTTCTGGGGCTTACTTCCCAACTCATTTATCAAACACTTATGTAATTCAGGGACTCTGTGGGTCCTGATCCCTTTGAGATCCCATCTTGTGGTGAGGATATTGTTCTATGAGTAACACCTGGCTGTATCTGTTCTCTTAGGAGGGGTAACGGCACTCTGCTGGGATCCGGTCCAGCGTGTGCTGTTCTCAGGCAGTTCCGATCACTCCGTCATCATGTGGGACATCGGTGGGAGAAAAGGGACAGCCATCGAGCTCCAAGGACACAAGTAAGCTGCTGCTGGTGCTTCCATAAAGTCTCTCACGACAGGCTCCTGGATGAGGCAGAACAGGGACATGGCAGGATGCTGGCAGGACCTTAGCTCCAGAAGGTGCATGTCAGCAACACCGTAACTGCAGAGGTGACTCTGTGTGTACAAAGGCTGCTCCTAGCTACTGAGGACCTGAGAGTACTTCTGAATGCACACAGTGAAATAATGACTTTGAATAAAATAAGAGCAAAAATTAAAGCCATAAAGAATATAAGTGAATGTTTGAGAGTGAGACAAAACATTGTAAAATACAAACCAGGAAGCCTGTAAGATCTCTGCACAATTCATGCTTTCTGGCAACTTGAGGGCAGAATTGATAGCCTTCTATACTTTGTACTTTGCCCAATACTTTATTCCAGTTTGCCCCGGTTCCTATGTGGTTGGCTTAAACCAGCAGCTGATATGTTTTCTCTTGACCAGCAAGCACTAGCTAGGCTCTACAACTGTAGGGTGAATGTTGGCCAGCACGTGGCAGCTGATGAGCTCTTGTGATGTGTTCTTTCTTTTCTGCTTAGGCTCAAGACTGCCTCTTTCTTCTTCCTGACTTAACAATTCCTGGTTTTCCTTCCTTGCTCCAGGATGACTAATGGTCAGAGTCGATGCAAATCAGGGACACAACTGACTTTAGGGACTGGGGGAGAGAGCTGGCTGGCATGGGTCTGTCCAGTCATGATATCGAGACAGTGTCACACATCCTTTGTGCCACCACTCTTCACCAACCTCTCACAACAACTAAACAATGGTCCTGTAAAGTCGTAATGGGGCTGACAAAATCTCAGGCGTAGTCCTTCCATTGTGCCTTTCTGATGTGTGTTAAACACGCAATGCTGCACAGGTTTGTGTCCTGTGCAGCCAAAGTCTGAAGCTGGGCTGTACCCTCTGGGTTTGTACACTCAGTGATGGAGTCACCTGACACACCACCTTTTTTCAGAAACCTAGCTTCATCATTAAGGCAGACTCGTCAAAACAGAGTGATTGATGACATTGAAGAGTTTTCCATGTTCAAGGGAAAAACACTAAGAAAATATACTCTCCCATACTCTTATCTGCATTTCAGACATTTTGGTGTTTTTATTCCCCGTGGCAAGTAGAATGCAATCGTGTTCCAGGCTAGCTCTGTGTAGAGAAAGGCAAAGGACAAGGCTCCAGTTTGGGAGGCAGTTAGGATTCTCAAGTGTCAGCTGTTTTAGTTTCACAGATACTGCAGACACATAACCCAGAGATGTGTTGGGCTATGCCCACCTTGTTTTACACAGCAATGCCACCTTTTTGTTTGTTTTTTGAGACAGGGTTTTGCTATGTACCTCTGACTAGCATGGTATTCACTGTGTAACCCAGACTGTCCTCAAACTCCTGAAATCCCCCTGCCTCCAACTCTTGAATGCTGAGGTTACAGCTTTGTGCTGCCACACCAACTGGTACCTTTTGCTTTAGATCTTTTCTTATTCTTAGAATAGTACCTATTGTTTCCTGACCAGCCTTATGACTCTATTTTCTCTAGTAGTGTTTTTTTACACCTAACACTTCTGGGTGACTTGATGTACTTTGATTTCAAGCACTGGAGAGCTTGTGTTGCCCTTACATGTTGGGACCCACAACAGACTTGAGCCAGAGGGTTAGTGAGCCTGATCACAGCCAGGATTCTTAGGGCCACACAACTCATGTTCTTTGCCTTTCCAAAATTCTAACTCTTAGTTTCCGTCCTGTTTCTCTCACCAGGTGTAAGATTTTCCTTATGAGCAACTCTAACCCTTTGGGAGTTCATTATGGTGGGACGTGTTGGGATTTACTAATAATCCCAGCGCATGGGAGACAGGCAGGAGAAAAAGGAGTTCAGGGCCATCCTCAGCCAGCCTGGACTACTTGAGACCCTACTCAAATAAAACAACTAAGTAAATGAACAAATCTTTTGATAAAGAAATGGCCTATCTATAAGTAAATATGCACGTGGAGGTCTGAGCTTGTCCCCTTGTATCAAGTAAACTGCACCTGAGGCTGTGAAGAGAAGAGACCTCACCTTGCCCTCTGTTGGAGGAGCCTGGGAGGGTGAGGTCAGCATGCACAGCAGCTTCCTTTCACACCCCAGGGTTTAAGGGCAGCCTCTCACTGCGGTGCTAAGGAATGTTGGGGAGGGTAGTCTGATTTCTAATTATTTTACTGAACACATAACAGGGTAAAAATATTATGTGTTAGAGCTTTCATGGAGGGTAGAATCCTGTCTCAGAAGGCATGGGCTGTGATTTTTGTTTGTTTTCTTTTATCTTTTTGTTTGTTTATTTGTTTTTGGTATTTTGAGACAAAATTTCTCTGTATAACAGCTGTCCTGGCCTTGAACTCACAGGGATCCACCTGCCTCTGTCTCCCAAGAGCTGGGTTAAAGGTGTGCGGCACCACTGCCTGGCTGCAGGACTGTGTTTATCAGTTAGCATTCAGGGCCGTTAGAAGCACTGGCTGCTCTTCTGGAGCACCCCGGCTTGGTTTCACACCCACTTGGCAACTTCAGTTCCATATTTGATGCCCTCTCTGGGCCTTTGGGAGCAGTGAGCATACAAGTGGTGCAAACATATATGCAGATGAAGCACACACATAAAATAAAGTTGAAACAATATTTTAAAATTAATGTTCCAGGAGGCCTCATTCTTTGCAAGGCCCACTTCCGTTTTCATGTTCTGCTTTATTCTCATTCTTTATGAATTTTGACAAGGGGCCAACCCTGTGTTTTCATTTTGCACTGATGCAATCAGGTCACCTACAGGGCCTGGTGGGAACTTGTTTCCTCTAGAACTGCTAAGAAGCATGAGGCTGACCCTCTGAATATAGGGTTTATAGGAGGCAGATCTCCCTGCTCAGGAAAGCAGGGTTTTCATGCACTCATCAGAACACATATGATGTGTAAGAGGAGGACCCAGAAGGCATATAATTATTAACTTTGAAATGCTTTCTAGTATAAGTGCTGCAGTAGTAGCAGAGGAGGCATGAAGATAAGAAGGTGTCTTTCCATTCCCTCCCTTAGTTTTTAATTGTGAGGTAGTTGAATTTTCAATCCTTAAATCAGGAGATCCCCAAGCAGATTATTCTAAAGCTCCAGGCCTGCATTCATCACCATGTTCCATCCACTCTGCTGTGCTGGAAGATTAGCAGTTCTGGAGCCTCATAACACATTTGCTGCTGAATGCTGCCACCAACTGTGAATGGTGAAGCACTCCTTTTGGCGATACAAGACCATTGGTATAAGTCTCAGGCTGCCTTAACACAGGGGTTCTCAACCTGTGGATAGTGTTCCCTTTGAAGGTTGAATGACCCTTTCACAGGGGTCACATATCAGATATCCTGCGTTTCAGATATTTACATTATGATTCTTAACAGTAGCAAAATTATGCTTATGCAGTAGCAACAAAATAATTTTGAGGTTGGGGTCACCACAACATGAGGAACTGTCTTAAAGGGTCACAGTATTAGGAAGGTTGAGAGCCACTGCCTTAACAAATGAAGTGTCGTTCACTCATAGTTTCAAGTCTGTTCAGCTGGGTAGAGGATAGATTCCCCCTCTTGACTTTGAATATCAAAATGGAGGTACCCCATACTTTTAAAATCATGACTTTTTACATGAATAAATGTGAGTTATGCTAGTTATTAGTTAATAAGAGGAGTGCTTTGATGATACAACTAATCCAAAGGAAAATCCCTACATAAGCAGTAGAAAATGCTAAAGTGAGGGCTGGGGAAATGGCTGAGTCAGCAAAGTGCTGGCCACACAAACTTGAGTTGATCACTAGGACTCTTATAAGGAGCTGGGCATGGCAATGTGTTCTTGTAATCATAGGGATGGTGAAGCAGAGAGAGATGGATGGGCATTGCTGCCCAGCCAGTGTAGCCTTAAACAAAACAACAACAACAGGTGGAAGACTTCTTAGCAGTGATACCCAAGGTTGACCTCTGACCTCCATATGCATGTGCACACCTTTCCCACAGTTATCCCACACAGAATGCTGAAGTTAATTTTACGTGGATACACAGATGGCTTTCTCATGGGCTGGGTGGGGACTAGGGATAGTGCTATCTTCGCTGGGCAAGATTTTGGTACTGTCAGCTTTGTATAATATAGGGTTGTAAAACAGTGGCCAAATGTACTGTTAATACAGACCCTGTTGAATCGATAGCCCAGGAAAGTGTGCAAGCTCACAACTGACACAGTGTGAAAGTAGACTTCATCATTTCATTTTGCCCATTTCCAGCTTGCCTGTCTACTTGACAGCTCAACTTCCCCAACTCTGTGACCATAGTAATTTATAAAACTCACAAAGATTTGTCTTGTTTGCTTTTTTAAAATTGTTTTTATTTGCTTATTTTTAGAAAGTCTTCCTGTGTAGCCTGGGCCAGTCTTAAACTCAGGATCTTCTTACGTCAGTCTCTCTAGTGCTGGAGTTATAGGTGTTGCCATAGCTTCTGGTTGTGAAGGATTACGTTTGATCACAAGAAAGATGGGAAGAAAGGCAGGCCAGCCTCATAAAGTGTGGCCTAATTATTTCTATTTCTGCAGTGAGTGTCAGTGAATAATGCATTCCTTCTTAGGCTTGCTCTGCCTTGATCCACACAGAGTTCTGTTCACATCCAAAATATTAACTTCTGCCTGGTCATTGTTACAAACTTGTTAGATGGCTTTGTATTTTTCTGAGCCTCTGTTCCTTGCTTTGCCACGGCTGGGAAACCATCCTGGAAAACTCTTTTTTGGGGGGAGAAGGTTCAAGACAGGGTTTCTCTGTAGCTTTGGAGGCTGTCCTGGAACTAGCTCTTGTAGACCAGGCTGGTCTCAAAGTCACAGAGACCCCCATGCCTCTGCCTACAGAGTGCTGGTATTAAAGGTGTGCACCACCACCGCCCAGCTAGGAAAACTCTTTACCTAAGGCATCTTTGTTGGTAAATCCCTGATGTCCAGCATCCCAGTTCTTCGTCAACTACATGTCTTTGTACTGATTGGTTTTCCTGTGAGGGCTTTGTAAGACCTTGGCTTCATAAATTCTTAGTGACAGGGCACTTTGGATTCATTGAGCATTGTTCTCAAATATGAAAGAGGCTTGGTTGTGCAATTGGTTTGTTGGGCTTTTCTCATGTGTGTATGGGTAGGTGTAGTTGTGAGCATGTTTATGGGGGGGTGCAATGTGTGTGGAAACATGGTTGATATTGGGTGTCATCCTCAATTGCTTCTTACCTTATTTTTATTTATTATTATTATTATTATTATTATTATTATGTTTTTTGGGGACAGGGTTTCTCTGTGTAACAGACCTAGCTGTACTGGCACTCACTCTGTAGAACAGGCTGGCCTTGAACTCACAGAGATCCGCCTGCTTCTGCCAGTGCTGGGATGAAAGGCGTGTGCCACCATCACCTAGCTCTTACCTTATTTTTTTAAGACAGCTCTCTCACTGAACCTAGAGCTCACTGATTCAGTGAGGCTGGCCATCCAGAGAGTCCTGGGGATCCTCCTGTCTCTGCCTCCACAGTACTGGGAAGTATACTTAGCTTTTTATGTGGGTGCTGGGACCCGAACTCAGGTCATCATGTTTGTATGGTAAGTGCCTTTCAGATTGATCCCTCTCCCTTTCCCTGTGGTTTGATTGTTGTAGAACCCCTTGTATAGCTGTGTTATCATGAAAATTAAGGGAAGTCTTAACATCTTAACATCTTAGAGTTGTGGACAGTGTGAGATTGGCTGGGTTTTTTGTTTGTTTGGTTTTTTTTTTTTTTTTTTTTTTTTTTTTTTTTTTTTTTTTTTTTTGTTCGAGACAGGCTTTCTCTATGTAGTTTTGGAGCCTATCCCGGCACTCGCTCTGGAGACCAGGCTGGCCTTGAACTCACAGAGATACGCCTGCCTCTGCCTCCCGAGTGCAGGGATTAAAGGCGTGCACCACCAACACCCAGTGAGATTGGCTGTTTTTTAATGTTTTGTTTTGGATTATAAAGGTGGAATTTACTAGATTGTAGGTTAGACATGGCTTAAAGGAAGAGGAAAGACATCATTATACATCCAGAAAATAAAATATTAAAACATCAACAGGATCTTAGACAACACATCTACAATTTGGGTTCATTTTGTTCTGTGAATAAGCTGTAATTCTTGTTCTGCTGGATCGTGGTTTAGTGGTGCCTGTTCATGATGCCATCTGTTACCAGAATAAAGTGAGTTCCCATACTTTAAGGGAATCAAGACTGCAGTTTAAACACTAATCACTGTGATGACACGCAGTAGCCTGTGACCAGGGATCTGTTGTTCTTCACAATGTCAGTGCTTTCAAATACTGATGGATGTGATCTTTTTCTTGAAGCACTGAAGCCATCCTTTTTGGAAGTCTGACTTGACCTTATGACAAACATCAGAGTAATACAAAGGAGAGCAGTAGCCTGTAGTGATTTAAGGACTTAGTGATTACTATGTCACAGGGTCTCACAAGATAGCCTAGACTGCTTTGGAACTTGGTGTCGCCCATCTCAGCCACAAATTCATGGCAGTTCTCCAGCCTCTACCTCTCAGTGCTAGGATTACCAGTATGAGGCACTATGCCTGGATCTGTTTTGTTTTCTTTTTGTGATGTCAGATTTTGAACATTGAGCCTCACTCATAGCAGTAGGATTCTGCTACTAGTCCCAGCCCAGACCTGGATTCTACAAATAAATAGTAACACATGTAATGCAATTGTGTGTAGTAACATGTAATTCAGTTGTACATAGTATCTCATTTTAAGGTGAAGAACCAGATCTTTATGGTTTTCCAGGACTGTTGTGTGATATTTTGATTGTATTCTGACAATAAAGCTTGCTTTGAATCAGAGGGCAGAGCTAACCATTAGCTGACCAAAATTAACCATAAAGGTTTTGGAGGACTGAGGACAGATGGAAAGACAGGAAATAGTAAGGATAGAGAGGATCTCAGCCGTTTGGATGGAGGAAGGGAAGAGATAGGAAGTCACTGATTGTTTCTCTGCTGGTTCTCTGATCATTCAGTTTCTTACCCCAATATCTGACTCCTTATTTTTTATAGATAAAGAGTAATTAGATAAATGTGTCACAGGATCTCTCTGGGAGGTCTCTTGAGAGAATATTGGCACAAAATATCTTGAAGATTATATATATATTTTTTCTGAATAGTTATTCAGTGTAAAAGGACAAAATCAACCATGCTGCTGAGTCTGGGGTCCTTGGCTAAGACAGGAACACTAGCTATCTAAGCAAAGCAGTAATAAATACCTTAACATAAATACTGAAAATAACGCCATTTTAAAGAATGGAGCCAGCCGGGCGTTGGTGGCACACGCCTTTAATCCCAGTGCTCGGGAGGCAGAGGCAGG